CATATTTGTGTACGATCTCAGATATAATAAACTTTTGTAACCATTTTTTCCAATCCCCGAAGCAGTTTTGATATGCAATTTTTATTGTGTCGTTGAGCTCTCTCCTCAATGGTCGCAGAACACCGACTTTTCATAGATCTTTTCAATAATTGGAACAGGAAAAAGTTCCAGGGGGCCAAATCTGGTGAATACGGTGGCTGATGCATAATTACGGACGTCTTCTTCGTATTGCTTCGCGCAAGCGGCGCAAAACTTCAAGATAATACTTCTCATTGACCGAACGACTGTGTGGCAAGAACTCCTGATGCACTACGCTACAATAATCGTAGAAAACAGTGAGCAAAATCTTGACACTTGATCGAACTTGGCCTGCTTTTTTGTTCTTGGCTCTAATGGGCTCTTTTATTATGACAATTGGACTTTGAGTTCGATGTCATAACCATATACCCATGATTCATCACTAGTTATGACCCTCTCAAGCAAATCTGGATCACCGTTGATGTCATTCAATAATTCTTGTGCATGACATGATCCCACCGATATGCTGACTCAGAGTATAAATACCGTATGCCACTGTCAACATTTTGAGCTGAAAATTAAATTTTTAAGACAAAATTTGATGCAAATTTTTCAATCCATTTTCTCGATAGCAGAAAATTGCCAAACACCTAAACACTTCTAACTTTAATACCTTTCACCAAAAAACTTAACATGCTAAATAGCTGATACTGTGAACATGTTCAAAACGAGTGTACCAACATAAAAAATTAAAAATATGCGAAACCGGATGTACGTAGTCTCCCAAATTTGAACTTTGAATCATAAAATTCTGAAAAAGTCTACGCATTACTTTGCTTCAAAAAAGCTTTAAATGACTTCCTATTGGGGAAATGTTTTTACTCACTAGATGAGTATTTCAAAGAAAATTTTTGATCAACTTGTGCTTGTTTAATGTATTTTCATGCACTTTTATTGTGACACCCAGTTTTTGTGGTATTTTGTTTCGTTTTGTAACCACTTCATTTTATTGATGACTATTCCTATACATTTTAGGTGACAAAATGAAAATAAATATTTTTATTATTATAATAATAGGGCTTGTCTGACATCAGTGCAAATTGTTATATTTTTGTCAGAAATTCCTTGCCTGGTTATTTCTTTTGTGACGATTGAGATACCAGCAGGCCCAGAATGGTAGAATGGTCAGATAGTACTAAAATATTGACTTTAATAAAGTGTTATATGACATGATTTTGATTCCTTCGACACCGAGGATCCTTTCTACCACCATACTTCATTTCTCGTGGTAAATGAATGACCAAACTTTGAAAATGAAACCAGAGTCTTATTCTTAATATTCCAAAATGGTACACTAACAATTTTTTGGTTCATGGCAGCACCTTCAGAAATCGTTGGTGGAAGAGCCAATCCAACACAGTTCCCAAAAGAAATCAATGGTTTTCCATTTCAAATCTCAAACTAAATCTCTTTAATTTCAGAAAATCTCTCTCAACGACCAGATCAAAAACCAGCCTGTACCAGCACCTCTCACACAGCCAATCCCAGCCCTACCATGAACCCTCCAGTCCAAACCAACATGACACCCATCGAGCGGGAGAGGATAATGGAGCCCCCCAGGCCAGTGGAGAGGATAAAACAAGAACGCGAGGAAACTGCCACAGGATTCGTTCAACCTCCAAGAGATATCCGCGAACCGCTTCCACATCCTCCACAGGATAATAAACCTTGGAGCTACCCTGGGATGGATCTACTGAACACGGGGGCTGCGTTTTGGCAGAATTATTCCGGTGAGTTTATCTGTGATTTGGAGTTGGTTGCACTGGAATAGGAAATCATGAAAATTGAGAAAACTGATAATGTTTTCATACCGGAAGTGATANTTGTGATAAATTGAAAAATCATGTTTGTTGTTCCTCCTACTAATTGTTAGGTCCAAAAAATTGATTGAGTTGTCTGTTTCTATTTCAATAGTGAATTTAATGTTCTCATGAATTTTGTTAATATCCCGATGAAAAGTATCTAATTGCCTCTTAGTACCTGTAAAACATACCAAAACGTCATCCATATATCTATGGTTTTGTTCATTTGGTAAAAAATTCGTCTTCAAAAAAAAAAATTTTAAATACTGTTGAGTAGATTTGGCTGAATCAAAAGTTCACGGAATCAGCCAGTTTTCAATATAAAGATCTGAAAGTTCAGTTCTAATTAGTCTTCCTTCATATAGGATACTACATACATACTTATTCGACAACAAAAGGTATCTGTTTTTTTTTTAATTACAGCTGAATCATTAACAACAATGCAATAACGAAAATTTCTCCGAAGGGAACCGAAAAATCGGTTCCACAGACATAGTGTCTGGCTCAAATTGAAAATATGTTATCCTCGATTTGGATGAACTTTTTTCTACCTGGCATTCCACCTCCTACGAAACAGCTTCCTCCATACAATGACCAATTTAACACCTCATAATCATTTCGAAATGAAAGACACTCAATTCCAGTAGCGAGACGTTTCCTAGTGCGGCTCCCGACTGTGAAAACGAATCGTTTGTGATTTTTAATAGAAGGAACCTTATTCAGGTCTTCTCCATACAATTAAACCACCTATTCACTCTCACATTCAATTTCGAAATTAAACGCCTATTAGGAGAAATACCAGGTAATATCTCTGGTAAATTACCCAGATATCTGAAGCTTTTATTAATATTTCAATTTTTTATTTGTTTGGTTGTTGCTTGTATGTTATTTCTTTGTAATCTCAGTTCTTTGTTCAATAAAATTGTTATTTTCGATTAATCTTATTAATTTTTTAATTGTTTTTTAGGATTTTCAAATCAATTTATATTATAGCAGACAATAGAAGTTTGAACTGATGAAATACACCACGAAACATTGTCAACCACATTCAAAAAAATATGAATTATTCTTAATATAAACTAAGGGTCATAATCTCATTCTGAATCACTCTGTATATTTTCATTTCACAGTCTTCATGGAAAATGTCGTGAAGAAAACTCAATTTTGTGTGTTGTAATTTGTGTTTGCTCCTAATATCCAGAATAGTTAGCAACTCTCTTCCTTCACATAATCAAAACGTTATTAATATGATTGGGAAATCTCAGTAGCTATATTCTCTCTCGTAGATGTGTTCAATTTCTAAAATGGCCGTGTTCGAATGAAATCCATTTCTATTGCCACCATATAATCTACGATAGACAATAACAATATCTCGCCTGCAATCTCCATCTGAAATCCGTATTACTTCTGGATGCAAGGATGTAATAAATCTTCAATTATACCCTGTCGGGATAATTTAATAATGAAATAGGTATGTTCGCATTACATTTAAAAACGTTATCGTCTGCTATAATAACTTCGTACTGTATTACATAGCTGTTCTATTATAAATATTACATGTTTGTAAACTACTGGGGAGAATAATACCTGGTGTGGTGGCATGGAGGAAGTGAAAAATAAAATATCAAGGTCGAAACGGAAGCAAACCATAAAATGTAACTCGCATTCGATGAACAATGGGAAATGATGTTTGCTGTAGAACGGTAGCAAGCAAATAATGGTATAATATACTCTGTACAAAGAGCCTTGTTGTTTCATTCGGTGCAGGTTCAATTTGGATTTCTTTGGTTCCCACAACGGTGTAATGGCATACGAAAACAATGAGAACCTAACACAATGCACTGTAGTAACACTTTTGGGGTGGCCAAATAGTATTTTGAGGAAAGGTATTGGCAGATAATGGTGGATTTATGGACCAGGCGTTAGTCCGTTTGAAAAGGTCCGTATAGGACGAAACGGCATTAAAGTTAGTTACAAATACTATAGTCCGTTCATAATTTGTTGATAGCTCACTGCAAGTTTGACCCTCATTAGAGAACTGAAATACAGAGAGGACAGCTAATATAATATAATAACAAAAACCAAACTAAAACTGGCAGTTTAAGATGTTTTCGACTAACCCACCTTGTATCTGAAGAAATACAATACAGCTATAAAACTTTTAATCCGATTATGTAGGTATTTTGAGTGGAAATGAGTGACCAGTGTCGTAG